TACAACAAATACCTATGTGCCATAGTTTCTCTCATCTAATCAATCAATGCAATAATCTATTGAAGATGCCATTGCCAAATACAATTATTGCAATAGCAACAAATAACTATAAGGGAACAATTAATAAATAATCTACAAAATGTAATATTTGGAGAATAGTAGTAATACCAAACTATATTGAAGCAAAAAAACTTGTTTTCACTACCAATAATAAATGAAATTTAATTAAATAAAAATCACCATCAAATGGCATGCAGATCATCCAAATTTTCATCTACAAAAATCATCCATTTTATCTAGACTTTATCCAATGATATTCATCTATGGCACTTTTCTTCCAGCTTTGATACAATTTTGTTGCTAAAGAGAATGTGCGGGAAACCAAAAGAAGGACACTTCCAATGTCTTTCAGTACATAGAGTATGAGACATTCAACACAAGGGCTAATTGCAAAGCAAAATGCAATGGTGTTGATCTTTTTCACGTTTCCTCAAAAGCAGTATACATCTAACCATGAAAAGACGGAGGCATCACTGAGATTTCTCGTCCACTTGCTTGCAGAAGTCCACCAGCAATGATAACGGTGCCTTCATCACACTTGATTGAGCACCACCTCCGGATCCGATTCCCTTCTTCTCATCTCCATTTAGTTTTAAGAAAAATTAGAGTCTTTTAGTGAATTTTTAAGTAGAAAAGATCCGCTGCCAAAATAGCCTAAGTAGCTCTATTTGGAAAAAAACTATATTTCAAGCATTTAGGATTGGATTGCCACAAGCTTTGAGAAAGTAGAAGCAAGCTAGAGTTAACCTTGACCACACCAAAATTCAGATACATTAGAATCTTAGGGAATTTTCAGTGAATGTTTTAGTGGCAGGGATGGCTATCTACAACTTGACATATTTAAAGTATGTTATTGTTTTCTTCTCTCAACTTTTAGTGATTAATTCTAATTCTAATTTAATTTAATTTATTTTTATTCATAATTTTCAGAGTTTAAGCTTGATCAAATAAACCTTAGAAGATAATTAACTTATTAGACTATAACATTTAAGAAATCATAAAAAATTATACACTTAACTTGTTGTGTTTAGGTGGATTAATTGTGATTATTATATCATTTCTTTATTTTTATTTTTATTTTTATTTTTTTATATTTATGATTTAAATGCCCACATTGATTAATATTGAATTTTACTCTAAGTTATAATTGAATCAAATTGAACTTAAGTGATGGAAGAAAAAATTGTTCACAATGAGTCTTGAGATTCTAAACCTGCCTTAATTTGTTGATGCTTGAATTTTGATGTTTTGAACAACCTCTATTTTCATGGCCTAGCTTCCAACAATAGAAATATAATACCTTCTACACCAATATTTTTTGTCTGTGTGGTATCAATGATCCTTGCAATGCATCAATTTCTATTGGTGTTGGTTGTTGTGCTATAATATTAGATAGTAGCATAGGACTTTCTGCTATAAGATAGCAACATTAGAACTCTATGATTTCTAAAATCTATAATATTGACCCTCTCTACAATCCTAATTGTTTCTTCAAATGTTTGTGTATCCCTTTAGTTCTACTTCTTACTAGACTCTAAGTTTCAATCCTTGTAGAAATCGATCCATCATCTTTGCGTCTAAAATATTATGAATTTCAAGATAGAAAGACTTGAATTGGAAAATATAATCTTACACCAACTTAGATTGTATAAGATTTTACCAACTAATCACGTGCTATCTACTCCATATTGATGGACCTAAATTTATTTTTAAACTCAGTCTCAAACTCCTCTCAATCACAAAATCCATCTCAAATTTCATTGCTTTGAACTTCATGTCACCATCAAATGGCTACTGCATCTTTCAAATAATTGGTTGCAAACATAATTTCTTTAGTGGTATTTGCTCTAGATAGTTGGAAATATTGTTGCATGTTAAAGAGCCATTGATATACATCTTCTTGCATTGAAGTCCTAAAGTATGTACTAGACTTACTTAATTTCAACCTAACAAATGTCGACTGCCTTGTTCTAGAGGCTTCTATTTGCCCTTACAAAGTAGCTATTTGGCCTAGGAGGTGTTGTATCTGAGCTTCCATCTAGAATTGCTCCTCCATATCTCCTATGCTATAATTTCCTTGCTAGACTCCACTATTATAATGCCTTCTTATTTTTCAACTGACTTTTTAAGAATAGCTCATAGTAGCCTCAATATAGTATCCAATGTGATCATAACAACTTACCTTGAATTAGACAATGGCTATTGACACATTACCAAAGAATAGTCTAACACTTTCTGTGATACTAATTAAACAAGATTGGATTGTCTCAAAAATTTAAGACCCTTGTAATCTATAGCAATATAAATTTTGTTACAACATAGGACAAAGCAAACTATAACAAAAAAAAAAATAGAACAAAACTAAACAAGAAGATGCAAAACCAAAATTTACTAAGAGAAAAGATCTAAAGCCATACTTAGCCAAATATCCAAATGACCTTAGTCAGTCCTATTTATAGTTTATCCAACCATCTTAGAACTTTCTAAAATATTTAATGATGGATTCTACCTAAATAACTACCTTAAGTTCTTTCTAGAATATTCTATGGTAGATCCTACCAAGATAACTATCTTAAACTCTTTCTAAAATATTCCATAGTGGATCTTATATAGTCCACTAACCTAGCTCCAATTCTAGAAACTTCTATAAACTTCTCTAACATGGCTCTAACTATCTATTCTTGTACAAATATCTTATTTATATCCCATTATACAAATTCTAAATCAAATCCTAACCAAATTCTAAACCAATTTTAATGAATTCTTAACCAAATCCTAAATAAATCTTAAATAAATCCTAAATCTTAGACCAAATCTAATCAAATCCTAAATCTTGAACAAACTTTTAACAAATCCTTTAGCAGATTGAAACATCAACAATTAATGTTCAAACCATTGATATTGATTCCAAATTTGTAGACTTTTCAAAAATTTAGTTAAAAACAAACATAAAAAACATGAGATTAATTGTACTTACCAACTAAGAGAAATGTAAGATAATCCATTTGGATGTTAAATGGCTTTCTTCTTCAACCTTAATGTTGAGCTCTCAATGCCAATATTTCTTTTTTAAATTGTTGAATTACTTTCAAAATTCACAAAAATATTATAAATTAAGTCTTATGCATGTATAAATAATTTTTGTTTCAATTCAACTAGTAGCTTACTAAAGATCTTAGAAACTCTCATAAATCCTCAAATTCTAATTTTTGAGGCCTCAATCCACTTATACTTTAATAACCTTCAACATAACCATTTAATTAAGCTCAAATTTGTAAAATATATTGAACATATCTATATTCACAAACCTACAAAGTTTTATTTGTAGATCTATTACAAAACTTACAAAATTGCATAAAATATCAATCATATTTTATTTTACAAAAATTAGAGTCACCCAAAACAACCCTAACTTTGCAAAGCTCTTATAAAGTCATTACAAACTCAAATCCTTTAAAATTAATGCTTATACAAGTTTAACTTGATTTTCTTTCAAATTCTACTCTTTGATTTATCAAAGAATTATAAAAATGTCATAGGTACTTGATTTTGTGCCTTGGGATTTATTTTCAATCTTGGTTAGCAACTGGTCCTCTTTAGGTGTCAATTCTTATTTTCTTGAGATAATTTTTCCTAAAATCAATTCCTAACTCTTTCCTACATATACATATATTCTTTATTTTTCTAATCTACCTTGTTTTGCCTTATTTATAGTAATGCAAAGTAAGTAGAATCCATTTTCATAAAATGCAATTCTAACACTATAAGATTTTACTATCTACCTATCTTTTATTTATATTTTTTTACTATTTCTTTTTTATTAGGCTCTTCTACAATAAAATACTTCCTTCCTTCTTTCACCTAATGGTATTATTATTACACAAACATTGTCTCGACCCCCTTGGTGTTGGGATCTCCAAGCAACTACAGGCTACAGACTACAATGGCATAGTAAGATCCCATAACTGAAAATTAGTAACCTAACCCTAAATTCCTAGTGTGTGATAAATGTACCGTTGGTTGTAAATGTACTATCTTCTACTAGTATCTAGCACAAGGTGGTATGTTGAATAATTGGTGAATAAACATACACGAAAACTATGAAATGACGAGGGAGGCGAGCAAAAACCCTAATTCGCCATTGTTTTCCTGTGCGGATACAACTACCGAAAATCGCGGAGCTTCATCGTTCCCCCGCCCTGACGAAGTGTTGCTTTTCATTGTACCCTTCCCACTGTGGTTAACTTAGTACACATCGAGCTGTAGTTGTCAACTGCTTTCATGGATCACATTGCGATTACCTGATGCTCTCTGCAGTGCGATTTCATGGTAATTGTCGGATCAAGCAGCTTTGAAATTTTCGCTCAATGTTGCAAGCTCAGATCGCACATCATAGCCACCTCGCAAGTTGAAATGTAACCCATGTGGTGGCATCAATGGCATCCTTCGAAGAGGGAAATATCGCAGAGGATATCGTCCGATCTATCATGGTAGCTTCTATAATATTTTCTTTAGAATTCCAATTTAGGGATTATGATTTAGGTTTTATAAAACAGCAGATTACTGTAGAAACTGAAGTCCTCGTCATTGACTGTGTGTTGAGGATGCATCAACACTTTAAACTACATGATTTTGTAGGCTGTCGTTCTGGATGCAGTTTAGGCTACACACTGTGGTGGTTTCTTGCATGGTGAGTATCAGTTTTTTGGTACTCATACAGTGGATCTTTATGCAGGGTGTGAAAATTTTGCTGCTATGCATGTATAATGTTCGTCATTTATCATGCCTTCGGAAATTCCCCCAGACACACCCAAAGCCCTTCTCGAATTGTTGCCAAACAGTTTTTTTTTTTTTTTTTTTTTTGAAAAAAATCAACATCCGGCAATCAGTGATGTCTACCAGAAACTGACGTCAAGACTCTTGAAATCTATTTCTCCATCGTGCTTTGCTTGTCCTAATTGGTGAATGTCTTTGTAAAGTAATTGAAGGTGTAGCATTTACACAGCGTCGAGGCGCACTCTCACAATCCCCTGTCCTTGCCAATGGTGGTTTTCTGATTTCAAAGATTGCAGCAGGACTCTGCGTGGGCTGAGCGTTGTATAAAAAGGAAATATTTTGGCACTGAGCAACTGCTTGGAGAAAGCTATGAGGAGAAAATTGACATCTTTCAGTATTCGAATGTCCGATCTCTACTTCATCACTATTAGAATCTCGCTTCTGTTACAAGTAACGCAAAAAGTTATTGCTGGAATCATTTTTCGAACTCGATACTACAATTAGTGCTCGACTGAGTGTGCATCTATAGCACTTGATGTGTTGCATACTGATGTTCATTGTAATCATAGTGATTGGATCAATGTTTGACGCTCAGTGAAGCTCATGTGATACAGTGTCTGTTAATCGGGTTGTTGTTGGTTTCCAGGAGTGAGTCTCGGGCTTGGACAAACTCCCGACCTTTGGAGATTCGACTTCTAAAAGTGGTCACCACGCTCCCAGAGGTCCGTGGCTAGTTTCAGATGTTAGGTGTCTTGAAGTTAAGAGCTATTCAATGTTGGGGACACATGCTTTGACAATCTCTGTGTAGGGACATAGCTCTGTGCTAAACATTCCTGTGTCTGAAAGGTCATGTTGCCTGGGAAAATGGTGCGATTGTACAGACTACACAGCCCCTAAATTGTGTACATGAATTTCGAATCTACACATGTATCATCGTAAAGTCTGATGTATTCTCCATGTTCGCCTCGGACCAGCCCTTCACGTGAAATCCACGTTGTTAAGAGAGTAACATGCACTGTATTGCAATTCTTACAGGAATCTGGTTGTTGCACTGGCATGCTGGAGTGAAAGTAACAGTGCCCTTCATCCGTTGGACTGATTCCATTACTACAATGGTTACTACAAAAGTATCAAACGGTAGTCATTTGATGCTGTTGTGATGTCAATTAGAGATCTCTTCACACACCGACTTATGAACCCCCTGTCAAGGAGCTTGTGACTTTGCTGCCGGTACTTTGTAATGAACATGGCAGGCCAGGTAAGTTAACCCTCTCATGCGGAATGAACATCTTTCATTTTTCCTCTGAAGTTGATACGCTGTGAATATCCATCTTGATTACACATTCTTGTGCTGCAGGTCTTAACCGTCATCGGAACTTCAAATCCTGGGATCCAGTTGAACTAGAATCTATGCTGCACGCACGTTCAAAATTAGCTCGTCTTGTTCCTCTCCAGCAAATATTCAGGGTACGGATCCGGAGGTGGCAGCTGATCCTAACTAAAACTACTAAGAAATACCTCAACGCCTGAAATAGAATGTTGCAGAATTACTGCTGGGTCAAAATCTTATCAAACGTCGTGGGACCCAGTATGAGTCCAATGCGCAGAATTGATATTACCAAGTAGCTTTTGACTCCAGATTCCGAGAATATTTAAGTTTTTTAGGGACTTGAACCGTAAGGCACCCTTCACATCACCGGAATCCATTATATCAACTCTCCCTCCCTATTTTAATCGGATCCGGAGGTGGTGCATTCGTCTTGTTCCTCTCCAGCAAAAATTCCCTAAGATTCTAATGTATCTGAATTTTGGTGTGGTCAAGGTTAACTCTAGCTTGCTTCTACTTTCTCAAAGCTTGTGGCAATCCAATCCTAAATGCTTGAAATATAGTTTTTTTCCAAATAGAGCTACTTAGGCTATTTTGGCAGCGGATCTTTTCTACTTAAAAATTCACTAAAAGACTCTAATTTTTCTTAAAACTAAATGGAGATGAGAAGAAGGGAATCGGATCCGGAGGTGGTGCTCAATCAAGTGTGATGAAGGCACCGTTATCATTGCTGGTGGACTTCTGCAAGCAAGTGGACGAGAAATCTCAGTGATGCCTCCGTCTTTTCATGGTTAGATGTATACTGCTTTTGAGGAAACGTGAAAAAGATCAACACCATTGCATTTTGCTTTGCAATTAGCCCTTGTGTTGAATGTCTCATACTCTATGTACTGAAAGACATTGGAAGTGTCCTTCTTTTGGTTTCCCGCACATTCTCTTTAGCAACAAAATTGTATCAAAGCTGGAAGAAAAGTGCCATAGATGAATATCATTGGACAAAGTCTAGATAAAATGGATGATTTTTGTAGATGAAAATTTGGATGATCTGCATGCCATTTGATGGTGATTTTTATTTAATTAAATTTCATTTATTATTGGTAGTGAAAACAAGTTTTTTTGCTTCAATATAGTTTGGTATTACTACTATTCTCCAAATATTACATTTTGTAGATTATTTATTAATTGTTCCCTTATAGTTATTTGTTGCTATTGCAATAATTGTATTTGGCAATGGCATCTTCAATAGATTATTGCATTGATTGATTAGATGAGAGAAACTATGGCACATAGGTATTTGTTGTAAAATACTTGATGCACATTTGTAAGTTCTATATGTATATAGACAAGACATTAAAATGCCTTACAAATATTGATAAAAAAATTAAAATGGAAATCAAGCAAAGCACAAGCACAAGCATTGATTGCACTTAATATTAAGGCTTCACAATTAATTCATATATGCAAATATAATATTACAAAGGAGATGTAAGATGTATTGGCTAAGATTGACAAACCTTCAAGAATTATTACTGAGATATTTTTAATAAAGAAATTATATAATCTTTGATATGTAGATGGAAAACTTATGAAGATATTTCTTAGAGAGATTTTTTATCTTAAGAATCAATATATTGAAGCTGATGGTAAAATATGCAAACAAAGCATGGTATTTTTTATACTTACTACATTACCAAAATCTTTGGATCTACTTCTTTAGTTGATTGCATTGAGAAAAAGAGAAGAGATCATGGAAGTAGTAGTACAATCTATTCTTCTTGAAGAACAGATGCAAAGGAAGGAAAAGACTAATTTTCTATTTTTTATTTTAGTATTACATGCAAGAAGAAAAAAAATCTTAAAAAAGTCTCATCCACAACAAAATAGAAGTCTAAGATTGATAAGTCTAAAAGTACTTATAGGGCTTGTAGATAGAAGGGGCATTGGCAAGGTGATGCAAAATATCCTAAAACAAATAGTAATGATGTAGTAAATGCTACAATTGCTGTTGTTCTTTGATATTAAGAGACATCATTTAATTTAAAAATAATGATTACATTGTTGTCTTAATTATAATATCATGTATGTATTGATAATGGAGTGGATGTAAACATCCAAAGAGACAAAAATAAGCTTCTCAATTTTAATGAAAATATGACAATCCAACTTCAAGGCTATGATCATGGCATTAGCAAATCATGAGGCTCAAGTGAAATACATTTCATAGTTTTAAAGCCTACAAAAAAAATGTACTCTTGTGGTTGTGAAGGATGTCCATTAGGTTCCTAGAGTCTATGATACTTTATTATCAACTGCAACTTTATACAAGAAAGGTTGCAAATTTAACTTAGATATCAATAGAGTTGATTGGATTATACCTTCATATAACTTACTCACTTAAGGCACACTAGCAGGTAAAGCTTACCTTATGCCTTATAAAATTAAAGAAATTACCACAATTTCTAGTTCATCTATTTTAAGTCGTATATTTATTAAATGAAATCAAGTACTAGTAGATGCTTCAATGCATATAATAAGAAAGGTAGAGCTCATGAATTGTGTTGAAGGATTAAAGATTAAAGAGAAGAAGGATAAAATATGTATATGTGAGTCATGCATTGTTGGCAAGGTCCATATGCAACTTTTTTCACATAAGCATAAACATACTAATAGTATTTTAAATATAATAGTGTCTAACCTTGATTATTTGAATACAATTAGCTTTAGTGGTGCCAAATGGTTAATTGTGTAGATTGATAAATATTCTAGCTATTATAACCTTATATTTTTTTAAATTAAGAACCAAATAAGTGTTACTTATAAGTCTTGGGAACCAAAGACATAAAGAAGAACTAAAAAGAAGATAAAAGGTTTTCTCACTAATCAAGGTACTAAGTTCTTGAATAATAAGTTTGGTTCTCGCTTCAAAACTGAAGGTATTTGGCATATGATCACTCTTATATCTACAAATGAAATTGTTGGCATGGCAGAGTATATGATGCGGATAATTTTTTAAAGGAGTACAAATACTTCTAGATGATGCCAAGCTAGATTGTTGGTATTGCATATTTGCAACAAAATTTGTGATTTGTACTCTCAATTATCTTCCACTTGCAAGACTCAATAATAAGACACTACATGAAATTTTTTATAGTAAAAAACCTTCTCTTTAAAATACTCATTGCTTCAATTTTTCTGCTTGATATCATATACTACAAGAAAAATATCAAAACCTTTATATAAAGGCAAAGAAGGGTATTTTTATTAGATATTCAAAAATCACAAAAAGATATGAAATTTTTCTACCTAAAAAGAAGAAGGTGATCTTTTGTTAAGATGTAATTTTTCTCAATAACAAGGATAAATTACTTTATAAACCACTAACCCCTCAAGAAAAAATTGGAGAAGATATAGATCATAAAAATAATCTTGATATACTAGATCTCCAACATCTAAATGAATTAGAAATATTTCAACTTCAAGCCTCAAGATTACATGAGTATGATGGATTGGGTGGAGAAATAGTTGAAGAGGAAGCAAATCCTATACCAATAGAATTAGTGGAATTCCATCAACTAGAAGTAGAGGCAATCACTCAAGCTCTATCACTAAGATATGATTATGTAGGTGGCATTGATCCGGGAAATATTATAAGTAATAGTAGGATGCATTGTACGGCTTGAGAAAAAAATAAAAATATTATTTGAGTCGAACTAAATATATTTGTTGAAAGTTGGAGGAATTTGGGATGAAAGATGCAAAGGCAATTGCTACACCAATGGTATAAAGTCATGTCACTAAGCATGAGAATGATCATCTTTTGGATACAAAAAGTATAAAATTTTATCTAAAAGCCTTAGGTTCTTTATTGTACCTTGTAAATGGTACAAGATATGACATTGCATTTGTTTGTCAATACTTTGCTTAATACATGGCACATCCATCTGTTTTGTATTGGCAAGGAATCAAACAAATATTTTCTTACTTACAAATAACAAAATATTTGATATTGTAGTATAGAAGAAAGGAAGCAAATTTGCAACTTATAGGTTGTAGTAATACAAATGGAGTAGGTTGTGTGGAGATGCACCATACATTAGGAGGTTATGCATTTATATTGGGCATGGATAATTATCATTTGGTCAAGCAAGAAGCAATCTTTAGTTTCTATTTCATGAATGGAGGCAAAGTATGCAACTTTGATTGATGCTACAAGAGAGACTTTGTTGCTTTACAAAGTATTTAGGAATTGTGACATTCCTAAGCCACAAAGGAATTCCATTTATGAGAATAACTAGAATGCCATTGCTTTTCATCCTTGCACATCATAGTCGTACAAAGTATTGGAATACATAACATTATGTTATTAAGCAAAGTGTGGAGAACAAATTGGTTTGGAGCATTGTCCTACGGGGTAAATGACGGGAAACATCTTCACAAAACCTCTCCCTAAAAATAAGTTTTTAGTTTTTAGGGATATGATAGGTCTTATTTCAGTAGAAAATTAAGTCCCACTTGCAGAGGAAAAGTATTAAATATCCCTTACTATATGTACCAAAAGTTGTGACTTATGTAGCACTTAACTTAGATGTTGGAAGTGCCCTTCCCTTCGCTCCTAACATATTTTAGTTTGCAACAAAATGTTATTCATCCAGTTTTCTTAACACCTTGTGTACCATTGAGCGCCGCTGGATAAATAGTTGCCACATAATTGAGCCAGTAGAAAACAGTGCTATTGGAGAGTCAGGTGGGAAATCTTCAATCCGACAGCCAGTTATCTGGCTTCACTGTGAGTAGGTCCAAAGGATGTACATGTTTACTCCCTCAAAGCACGACCGCAAATTATCAAACGCACTGAGTTCTCTCAGTCGATGAAAGTGGAGTTATTCCGTGTCCACTCACCATTTAAGCCGCTCTGTGTAACGTTCACAACATTATATAGCAGTCAGTTTGGGGTTTTATGTCGTAATTCCATGTCGCCGTCCTCACTACGGTAAAATACTCAAAGACGCTGAGGTATATGATAACTTACAGTGAGGGAACGCACAGAGTACAGCCTTCAAAAAGCAGTGGACCAGTAGCTATTCTGAAAAAATGAGAACTGTTCATGACTAGATTGTACTGTCTTTTCAGCTCTCCCTAGGTAGAATATGTCTATCACGCATTTAAACCTTTCAGGCCAATAATTATGCCGGTATGCAAATTGCCAAATACGATGGGATGAACAGATGCAAAAATTTCACAACTGATCAAGGGTCTTCTTGTTCAATGAGAACCTTACATGAGAATACACATGCTTACTCTTCAACACAATTGCCATTTACACACAAATTATTCTCCAGCTGTGGGAACTTGTGCATAAGAGCAAATTTCAGACTTTCATCATTCTCTGTACTGATTTCGCAAATCATGTCTGTTATTTGTACTATGTTACCCCTGTACAATTGATGATAACAAATTGAAACCTGCTTTACAGTTCGGTCCTGTGTCGTTTCAGTGAATGTGGGCAGAGTGCCACTCCAATACTCGTCATTAATATGGTAGGTAATGTCAACTGATTTACAGTTTCAATGATGGCTTGATTCCCACGCAACTGGGCATTTGTAGAGAGGATGATGGTTCCAGAATTTTTACACCATGACTACGGCGTAGTTTCGCCAGAGCCCAGAGCATACTTCAAGGCTGCGACAATGCCACTCGTCGACACGGTCACCTCCACTGGCTGATGCACAAAATACACATCACTATGTCAGAAAGTCTGACGAAGGGATCAGTAAAAGTCACAGAACTCTTTCACAGTCGGGACGAGGAACCTGACCACCTTCGCATTCAAAACTATTTCCTAATAAGGACAAATGACATGCTCGAATCACTCGTGATTTCGGGACCACACGAGGGCTAGTTTCGACAAAGGGTTATACCTTGGCGATGATGACGACGATGAGACGCTGTGCCACCTTCGTGATGCTGCAGTGCATGACATCTAGCTTTAGGGCCTCTAGACATTGCAGGATGACACTCTGAAGACGGGGCCTAGGCTTGCACACCATCTCAATGACCACCTGACGCGGTCGGTCCGCGTGAACCTCCATCTTCTCTAAACAGTTGCCAAGTAAGTCGTGAATATTTCTCATCTCGTCCTGCGAGATGGAAGGTATCTGAGCGGCAGCAGGCGTCTCTCTGGACTTACTGGGGCCACCTTCATACGGTTGCAAGACCTCAGCGGCGCCTTCCGGATGGACGCGGGCCCTCTTCCTGTCTAGCTTAACAGTGGTTGCGCGTTGCAAATCCGACCTCCGCCCCTGTAGTTCTTCGATACGATGATGCAGATTCTTCAAGTGCGCGATAGAGTCTTCAACAATGGTAGACCTGTCACGCTGAAACCACGATGAAGAGAGAACCTGTTAGCAACAGTAATCCCCCGTACTCCGAGGGTTTCACAATCGCGACAGTCTATTGTTGAATTATTCCAAACCCACCTGTGTTTTTTTTCAGGATCCCAATCATCCCATCAACCCCTGATTTCAAGTGAATTTACTCCAACGATGGCTAACCACTGCAAATTCGCTCCGTTGACTCTAGACAAAGTCTAAAGAGCGACATCAGCAAAGTGACAGAGATGGAGATGGGAAGACTCACCTTGACACCAATTGGTAGCAGAGATTCCAAGATCGCAAACTTGCTAGTCATGTCGTCTCTACGCTGCCGCTCTCGCAGAATATGGTCAGATTGCTCCGGAGGCCGCTTCTGCTTGACGTCCATCGTCCGAGAACTCTTGTCGATGACTTTCCGGAGCTTCAATTCGGTATGACAGAGACCCGTTTCCTGTTTCAATGGCCGCTGTGTGGTCAGGGGGGCTTCCACCCACCGCTCCCTCACAATCTGAGACTGTAACCCCACGGGGGCAACATCGACATGCGTTCTCCCAAGCCTCACACTAGGTGTGGTTCCATACGGCATGGAGGAGACAACACTGACCGGGACATTGTAGTGTTTCTCATGACCAACCACCTGCGGCAATACGTCCTCGAACAGCCCCATCCCACGATCCATGTCCATAGACGGCAGCGAAAACCCCATCGACGGTGCGCAGGCTCCATACAACTCTCCACTCATCAACCCCGCCGTGTCCACATGCTGCGAGGCCCCGCATTGCTCCAAGCCCACTTCCTGCTGCTGCAAAAGCGTGCTCTGAATGAAATCGTTCAGCGACTGCTGGAGACCCACATTACCATCAGCTGCACCATAACTCTCCCGCCCATAAGGATTCAAATCCCTGCCAGGCTGAAACCCTCCTCTACTCAAACCCATAACGTCGTGCGCCACTTCCACGAGCGTCAACATCACCATCACTTCACTCCTATTCCACCCGCCTTTCCTCAAAAAAAAGATCCCCTCCCACGTACCGTCCACCCACAAACACCGACACACTACCAAACCTTCTCTCGCACAATCCCCTCTCTCTGTGCAGTTCCCACTAACAGGCAACTCCAAGTGTTTCTCTGCTGCCCCCACCCATCCCCCCACGCCCCTCACCCTTAGAAACTATCCCCGTCTAGCGACCAATCCTCTACACCTCGGACGTCTATAGGAGATCGACTCTCTGGCTAGCTGCCACTGTTATGATGCAGAGGGACGAGACAGCCAGCCATGCTCTCGCTGCTCACGCACTGCAGACGCAATCATAAGTCCAATTGCCAGCACCACGAATCTCCCTCCCGGTCCAGTACCTCCAAAGCCTCGGCCACTGTACCTGAGGCTACTGCACAACACTGATTGTAATAAACTTGGACTCAATGCGTCGCGCCGGTCTGTGCTTCTGCCCCTCTACGCGGTCGAATGCGGGGTATCGGACGGCTTCGATGGCGCTTCAGCGTAGTCCAAATCGTGGCAAGTGAGTGCACAGCTAGAGTGGGGGAAGGCTGGCCGGTCTGTTGATGGCTTTGAGATGATCTCTACAGCGGCCTGCGTGACTGATAGCAAATTGAAGGGCTGAGGGAGTGGCCCGGTTTTAAGCTGGCTGCCATGGCCATCATCCACTGCCTGATGGAACCTGGAAAATTTTGTCGTGCAGGAAGCGTTGCAATGACTCACCTTCCATGCACCAATTCCGGACTGACGTGCCAACTCTAAATCGCTAACTGTGCTTCTTAAAGTATGCAAGTCAGATTTCCACAACGATGTGAGAATCTCGCCGTTAAAAAATTTCACCTCGTTGTGGAGAGGGCGCATAATGCGGACACTGAAAGAGGTTTGTTCGCTAGCGGGGGAAAAATCAGCCACATCCGTAAAGCCTTACAGTGGACTGAATTCACCCATTTTGCTTTTCTCTTGAAAGTACCCTCGTGCATCAAAATATTTTTATATAAAATTTATAAAGAAGCACCGTCATTTGTCAACAAAACTAATATAGAAAAAGAAGAACCCTCGTGTTTTTCAAACTACTAATATTGTAATATGTGTTGCTTGCTTTCACTTGCTAAGCGTCTAAGTTTGACCGACAGACGGAAGCCCGCAATATATTATAATTTGATAAACAGAGGGATAGCAGCTTTTGAGACTAAAATTCACACAATCTGTGGCTTTGTCACAAGCGAATCGGCTTGCCTTCTACGAGGATGTGAACCTCGGGAGCTGGGCCCCACTGGTGTAAACAAAGCGGTTACCTCCAGATCACGATCTACTTTCTGGATATTGTATTCTAAAAGGAAAATTAAAATTTTGGAAAAACAAACTACGCGGCTGAATGAAAAGAATAAAGAAGAAGCAGATGATGATAACCACACTCTGTGTGTCCTCCCCAAAGCATGGACCTGTGGAAAAATCCGCTCAAGGCGAATACAATTCGTTGGAGTCGTGAATAAAAGCCCTGATTCGGGATTGGTGTTGCAAGCAATAGAGTTGAGAGCTACCTTCACCACCTGAAAAACTGGAAGCTAGCTCGTTTGCAAAGGTCGGGTCAGTGTACTTGGATTCCGCCTCCCCATTGTTGCAAATCAGACCAGAAATTTCTGGAGCAAGGCCTTTAGTTAGGGTGCATGCCTCTCAACCTCGTTGCTTGGCAAGGATTAACAGTTGCTACTTGGATTCTTACTACAGGTGAAATCGATGTGAACCTGCCAGAATTCAACACCCTAGTTAACTTTGAAACTTCTCGAGTTGCAAACTGGTTGAAAAAACGCAGTGTGTTGAGTGCATGATAATTTATGCTTTACTGCTCATTACCATTTCTAATCGTATACATAACATATATATATATATATATATATAGATACATATATTTGTGTGTGTGCGTGTGTGTGTAAGCCATTTAGTGAAAGATTCGATAAAACTACTAAGAAATACCTCAACGCCTGAAATAGAATGTTGCAGAATTACTGCTGGGTAAAAATCTTATCAAACGTCGTGGGACCCAGTATGAGTCCAATGCGCAGAATTAATAATACCAAGTAGCTTTTGACTCCAGATTCCGAGAATATTAAAGGTTTTTTAGGCACTTGAACCGTAAGGCACCCTTCACATCACTGGAATCCATTATATTAACTCTCCCTCCCTTTTTTTTGTTAATGCTAAATATAGGTTGATGGTTGGAATCAATGAGTCCAGCTCACCCCTTGATCCTATTTGAAACAAGTGAGTTGGTATGGCAAATTGTGTTCACATCCACAAAACTTGATGTCAGCGCTTTTGTTACGTCAAATAGATTGTTCATCAGTTCACAGTCACAGCTCATCCATTGCGCAAATGGATTGCAAAGTAATTTTAGTTTGCTTGGAACTTACCATCTGACGTGTGCAAATCCCTATAAATACAAAGGATGCTTTCTTTGGCGCATCTAGTGGACAGATGAATGGGTTTTGTAAAGGATGGCTGCTGTTGGTTTGGTCAAATTCAGTGGTACCCATTTCAATTTATTTTGTAATTTTTCCAGCAAATCCTGTAACCTAGTTACGCACAAACACACGTGATCGTATATTCAAGTTTTGTATTATATTCAACTGCTACTATTTACGTGAGCAAATCGGCTTACTGTTACGAAGTCGGAATTTCTCTACCCCTTTCCAGACTATTCTTGTACTAAGATTCAAATCAATCCCATGTTTTGCTGAAGTTGCTGCTAACAGTAATCCGCAATTACATCTTGAAATGTGATGACTCGAATAACGTGGATTAGCGAGGATAAAAGTAAAATGAACTGTGGAATGTGTGCTTATAACTCATCTAATCAACTTGCAGGTGACATAATTCTGTGTATGGAGTTACCGATATTCTAGCCATTGACGGCAATAAATGGCTTTTGTCGAGATTAGGCCATTCATAATTTCATGCAGAGAGTGCATTTTTCCGGCATCAGCTGATTTGAGCTTCTTGTCTTGTGGGTTAGTTTTGGACTGTCATGAGGAATGAGATGCAGTTTTCAACTCTGTCAAGTTGCAAACGTGATGGTCAACATCCACGAAACATGAAGCTATGCACCCCTCCCCGTTAGTGACACCACAATCCAATTTAACCGATTTCCGGCCCCTCCTGCTTACCGGAGTTTAAGACCGTAACTTTGGTGGCCTCTCTCCCGCTCTTCTTCCAAAGTTTCATAGCCTGCCACGCAAATTCGAACCTCACTTCGACTTAATGGTGACAGCTTCTTCTTTTTTGTTTTTATTTCATTTTCCATCTACGTTGCAACTAATGGTGAGAACTTTTTCTGGTGGGATGAGAACAATGGCTCGCCTTTGCGGACAGTTACTTCAACACATTGCCCATGTGTCATATTCTTAGTTTGGTAAACCAAAAGTGCCTCGCAGTGGATCAGAGTAAAAGATAAAGTGGAACAGGATTACTAAAGCGGGATCTGAAGGGCTATGTTGGCTAAAAAATGAAATTCCTAGGAGATTTTTAAAATCGCTGCAGTGGAGAGAAAGATGGCTGGCCCATTTTACAATCAATGACTTGTGCCAACTAGGCATTAAAAGTAAAGCGGAAGCAGGTGTGTTCACTCGGGAATGAACAAGTTGTGTGGATTGCAAGGCGATGGTGTGACAATGGGTGTGTCAGGGAGTGATATCGGAAGGCTATCCCTGCAGTTTGGGGGAGGGGGCAGAAGCAGCGTGGCAGGTGGCGTAGCTCACCCTTGACGAAGCTGCGGGTGGAGAGATGAAGACGCCCCTCCTTTAAAAGAAAGCATTCGGATCAATTGCCGCACTGTTTGGCCAAGCCCCATATAGTATAGAAGAATCTTCTGGCCATGCCAGTGAGTTTCCTGTTTTGAGATGCTCAGGGGACGTCGACAGGAAACCAGTTTCCGCTGGAGCGTGCAATCGAGCTACGTGGCCGCTTGGCACCCACACTCGCACATATGTCTTGGGTACTCGATATCTACAACTGGGTCCATGTCTTTATGATTTTGTGATTTGTTGCGACAATTATAGACTTGGCTATAGGCTTTTGCCTAAGACAGATTCAGAGGTGGGACCGAGGCTTGAACTGCGGACCATTTCAGAAGGCACCGGGAATTCATGGAATTGCCCTTGGAATGCACCGACTTGGCACCCAAGATGGAAGATCAGTCACCGAGATGCCCCACTCTTGCGCGAAGAGGATTCAGCTGACCATGCTTTGAAAGGGGTCCGACCCAGCGGATCGCAACAGGATGAAACGGAGCAGTGATAGACGATGCGAAACCCACAGTCGTTGCCGCGACTTGGATGACTGTAATGTACTCTCCGCAATACCATTCACTTTTCTATCGCTGCACCAATCAACTCCCTTGCGAAATTAATCCCTCCCACTCCATTGCACTGCAACCAGCACAAAAGAAAAAAAAACCTCCCCCTCGAAAGCAGCGTTGGAAAAGCTACTAGAATGTCGAGCAGGAGTTCACAAAGGCGTTCAACTCCAGGTCCACCCACATGTACGTCGACACAAGTACGCTCAAGGCTCGACGATTGAGAGCAGCCACGGTGTCGAGCAAACCAGGCCATCTGTCCCACCGCTCAGATCCACGTCCTCTGTGTCCAAAAAACCTAAAAGCATGCCAGAGCCAGAGCGGACCACCACTCGGAGCAATGCTTCAGAGCGAAACGACAGCCAGCCTCCGATGAGAAAACCTGCCACAATGTGACAACCTGGAAGGCAGAATCACAGCGAGAATCAGCGAAAAAGCTACCTACAGAAGAAGAGGCAGCTGATCGGGTGTGTTGAATGACGCAATCGGTCAGAAGGGAGAATATTGGCGCTGCGAGCTCGAATGAGAATCAACGCTCATGGATCACGCGGCCAGCTCACCTGGGTTGTTCTCGCTAACCCCGCATGCACCTTTTTCATGGAATTAGCAACGTGGGCTTTGCAACTCAGTGTGTGTGTGTGAATCTCTATAAATACTATAAACTCACATACAAGAATGTGTGAATTTTAGTGCGTATGTTTGTGTGTGCATCGCCGTGGCATCATATTTCATTTTTGGATCCTCAGCGCTTTTTGGAATGGAGGTCCATGCTCCTGCTCATGGAGTTTTGTGTATATAGTTTCTAAGTGTGTTGTTGCTCTCTGTTCATTTTTTTCTTTTTTTCTTCTTTTTTGTTGATCGTGGATAAATCCGTCTACTCCGTCTTCTTCTTTTGCTTCGGGTTGCGAGGAATGTGCTTCATTTTTACAACTGTCACTCGAGGGAATAGAAGGACGAGGAAAGCAATGCCCACTTTTTGCCATGTTTTCTTTTTTTGTGTGCTCGTTTCCTTTTTGAGGAAAAGTTAATATTCTTTTAT